GTAGTGGACAAACTCATAGAAACTACAAATACCATTGTGGTTTCTGCCTCTATTCACAAAGAAATAACATGATAAATTTCAGTTAGAAGTTCTATGAAAGTAAAGATCTAGGTATTTCCCACCCAAGTTCTTAGGCCCTCTGGCATTCTATCTGCAGACCTCTTGCACCTTGGTTAAAAACTAGTGATTAGAGCAAAGGAATGTTTGGAAGAACAAAAACAAAAACAAAACAGAGGAGAGACTATCTGCACCTGGCTGGAGGCAGTACATACTTGGAAGAGGGCCCTCTGACCCCCTGGGAATCAGTCTCCCAGAATTCTCCCAGATGCTCCAATCCTCAAATAGAATTGTTTTTATTTTATCCCAAGATGCTTCCAAGTACTCCAGGGGAGTTTCTCAAGCATCCCCAATAGTCAAACTCATTATTACTGATAATTCATTTGTAAAATTGAGAATGAGAAATGCTCATGATTGCTCAGTGGGTCATTGTCTTTGAGTGCCAGCTCTAGGACATGGACCTAGAGATGGTGCATGGGGGTCTGTTGGGGAATGTAACAGAGGCTACTTGGTCAGTTCTTTTAAAGTGGTTAATGTATAGGGCATCATCTGTCTTTGAAACCCCAATGCTGAGATGGCTGACAAAGGCACCAGGTTTGGCAGCTCTGAAGTCATCAACTGGAAGAGCAAGATGGACACTTGGGGAGCATCTCATCCAAGACTCTATGCTTAGGTTCAGAGACTTCTTTGAAAATCAGAGGCAAGCAATGGACTTTTAGCCCCTGAAAATTACTCAGAAGTACACCTGCTATTTTGCATATCACTCTGGGAACTTCAAGGAAGCCTGTCCAGATTAAATTTTGTTTGATGTAATCTCTTGAACCTTTATTCAAAAAATGAAAAAACCGAGGTCAGAGAGGCAAGGGACTCTCCCTATAATCACAGGCAGCAAGCTGATCATTGCCGCCACAAGGCTTCACTGCAGGCCCAGGGAGGCAGGTGGCTGAGGACTTGGACCTTGCACGGGGCTAAGCTGGTGGAAGTTGCTTCTTTTCTTCCACCTACCTTAGTCCACCTCCCCATCCCACACTGTGCCAGGAGAAGGCACATGGTCTGGTTTGGAAGGAGACTGTACCTTCTATAGGTCATACTTAAGGATAGGCCCCAGTCTCAGAACACCATTATCTTGCTTGCCATAATGAGGACATTCCTCTCACCCCAAGTGGGGCTCCCAAAGAGGCTGGCCCTGTTATTTAATGCTTTATCTCTCTACAAATAATAAATGCAGGGAGCATGGGCCTGAGAAAGTTAATTAGTATCATTAGGTCTTTAATTCTAATGTTGCTCACTGCAGAGCCTTTTCGTGCCAGCTCTCAGCCCAGAACAAACCTTTGTGACACCTACTGGGACAAATCCCTTTGCAGCAAGGGCTTCTCTTATGCTGAAAAGGGGGAGTGTCTCTCCTTGGGACTGAAGTCTGGCAGGTGAGGCTGCCAGGGGAGAGTTCCTTGGTTTGGAAGTTCCCCAGGGTGCCCAGTTCCCAGTTAAAATGATCAGGGTGCTGTGCATATGAACATTACAGGCATCTCATTGGAATAGGATGACAGGTTCATATGTTGGAAGCTGCCTGTAATGGCTTGGTTATTTTTCCCCAGGGATGAAGTGGGGGCATGTGGGATCTCACCAATCTGTTAAGAACCCAGGTTATCAGAAAAGGGATGGAAGAAATCCTTTGAGATAAACAGAAAACAATGAACAAACACTCATCATCACCTTACCACCAAGACGCACAGATTAAATGCTTGCATGTCCTCCCCCTTGATGTTCCTATCTTTTGAAAGCCATTTTTGTATCACAAGACCATTGTCTAGTGATGGCTTTTCAGTTACTCAAATTGCCAGCATTGCTGCTGTAAAGAAACAGGCAGGTTCACAAAACCAAGGCCAAAAGTGACACCTAAGCACCAAAGTCTATTCTGCACAAGGTAGGGTTAGACCACACAGACGCGACATGGAGCTGTTCACACGTGAACAGCATGTGTCTTCAAGAGTACACGCTGAACCAGCAGCAACTCTGACATAGGAAGGTTTTTCCAGGGACCCCTGACCACTGGGAAGAGTGTCAAACATGTTTAAACTGAACAACTGCAGAGTGGGGATCGGGGTCCAATGCCCAAGGAGAGCATCCTGGCACCACGGAGGGCTCTCTGTGGAGGGCAAGAGTGGCTTGATGTCACTGCCATGGATGTGCCACACAACCATGAGCAAGTTCCCTCCATCTGATGGGGTTAGTTTTTCTCACCCCCAGTTCGAGGGTTGCACTGGATGATGCAGACCATCACCTCCTGGGAGGTGGGCCAAGACAAAGCCATCCTGGCTGAGACCGTGACGATCTTCCTACTTCTTTCACACATTTAACCACACGGCTTCTTCCTCGCCCTCTGCTCTGGGTGAGTAAAATTCTCAAGGTTAAAAGCTTTTTCCACTTATGCAAAAATGTGGAAGAGAAAACCAATAAAGGGATGTGAACGGTTACTTAAGATTTCTCTAAAAGGCTGAAGGAGCTAAATAAAGGGTTCCTGATTATTAGCCAGGACAGCCTATCATCACTGTTACATGGACAAATTGTATTGCATGTCAGAGCGCACGGAAGACGCACAATAATTTATCAGTCAGGACCCAGAAAATTGTACAGTACGAGAGCCTCTGCAGCTCCACGTGTCCCTGCCATGCTGTCCCTCCCTCGACTCTGTTAAAGGGACATTGCCAAGATAGGCCCCGATTTAGGCCTTGGTTAAAAAAAGCACTTTACTAAAACACAAAATGAAAAGAAATATTTCTGTGACATTTATAAGGAAACAATGAAAAGAGGAAAACAGTATTTTTCTCCCTTGTTCTCCATCCCTCCTGTGGTTTCTCACCATTCTTTAGGTAGTTTCCTAAATACAACCACAGAAAAGAAAACTGAATTTGTGTAGTCAACAGGGGACTGACCAGGAAGACCCATGAAATGGACTGTGATGGCCCGTTGGCTTCAAACACACAAACACACCCATCAAGCACACAACTGACCAGGGAAATGTAGATTTAGCGGGGGGCCAAGTGGTAGAAGTGAAGTTGGGGGATATTTTGTCACAACACTATTTAGAATTGACAGGACATGGTGACATTAAGCAGAAGATCCACTTTTTGTCAGTTTTATTATTATTTTTTAAATTCTCCATAGAAAACATGTCCCCCCATTTCCTGCACAGGGCAGATGGCTCCCACTTGTCTGTCCTTGCCACTGAATATACATTGGTCAGCATAAATGTGTTAGGGACCTTGGGTATGGGGGTGGGGACTTCATGAAAGGTATTAACCCAGCCTTGTGATGTTCTATTGGGAAAAAAAAAATTGTTTTTTTAACTGTAGGTTGGAGGAGCCATAGAAGAGAGAGGTGACCGATTCTGTCCATCCACTAAAACATTCAAACCAACCCAAGTAAAAATGGCCTTAAAGTCCCACAAAACACCCAGAACCCTCTTGGGAGCTTCTCTTTTCTCAGCTTGAGTTCAGGAGGCCATTTCTACTTTGGGAATCCACTCACAAGAACTAGTGTGTAGCCAGCCGAGTAGCTCTGGAGGCTGAGGCAGGAGGATAGCGAGTTCAAAGCCAGCCTTAGCAAAAGTGAGGCACTAAGCAACCCAGTGAGACCCTGTTGCTAAATAAAATACAAAATAGGGCTGGGAATGTGGCTCAGTGTTCAAGTGCCCCTGAGTTCAATCCCTGGTACAAAAAAGAAAATAAATAAAAGAACTCATGTGCCATTCATTCCCAAGTGTTGTAACCTCAGTCATGATTATTAATAGTACTATTTGTTCCTATTATTCTCATCATTCCTGGAAGACACAGAAGTCCCAAGAAGGGCACTCTGCAGCTGTTGCCCACTTCTACCTCTTCTCTGTTCAAGATCACCAGAATTTGGACCACCAGATCACTTACATCTGACTTTTATATGCTCAAAAGTTCATCTGGAGGTCTCAGGATGATCTTTCACCTCATTTTTCTCATCAGGAGAGATGGTGAAATGCTCCTTTATGTCAGGGAGAACTTGTTCCCTGCTCTCAGAATGGCAAACAGAAACAGAAAGAACGCTAGGAGCCAGAGGCACTTGGCTTCACATCCTTTCTCTTCCTCACTAGCTGTGTAAACTTGGGCCAGTCGTGAAATGCTAGTGAACCTCATTTTACTCCTCTGCAAAATGGGGCTAATCTGCTCTACTCTTAAGTGCGTGGTGTGGATGCACACTTAAGAGTAGAGCATAAAGAACACAGCATGCACTGAACGTGTCTGTGGCTGTGGGGAAGGAGGTGGCGGGGCATTTTTTCTGTATTTCCTGGCTGTCTCCCCACAACCAGTAGGGCAGTCTAAACAACGCTGACCATCAATGAAACAAAATCTGCATCCCTATGCATTAGGGGCTTGATGCACAAGTGGGTAGCCTGTGGAATGCGGTGGAGGGCACACTGCAAAGCCATCCAGATGATAAACTCCCTAAGGGCTGGGCCTCTATCCACTGGCTCTGAGAGGATCGGGGCCATGGCCTTGCTGGTAGAGTCAGCCTCATTTGCTTTCTGTCCTCACCCTGCATGAAAGCCCTGGGCCTGGCTTCCTGAGTTGGGGCACGATAGCATCGCATCTCAGTGGCTCTGCTGAGAGAGAGTCCTTCCAACCTCCCCAGAATAAATGGCACTCACAGACAGCAGGGGGCCCGGGAGAGGGAGGGTGCTGAGACCTCCCCAAAGCCCTGCTTCTTGGGTGAAATCCACAGCTCTCTCTGGAGTTTAAATACTAACTGTGGGTTCCCAGGACAGCCCATTTAATTCCTCCTTTTGTTGGCAGGGTCCCAGCCTTCCCTTCTCCTCCAGGCCCCTCCTCAAATGTCACACCAGCTGGGGAGCTGCCCCACCCCTAATTATTACCCCTGGGCTGCCAAGATGCAGGCTCCACCACCGCGGAGGATGGCAACAGAGCACAGAACGCAACAACGGCAGCAGCAGGTGGGCCCAGCAGAAAAGGCCAGATCCCGGGCTCTGTGATTACTGTCATCCATCTCCAGGCAGGCAGGCAGGGTGCTGGGCGGCCTCTGCGACTCTGCCTTCCCCTTTCTGTGGATGGAAGCAGGTGGAGCTGCGGTTTTCTGTGTAAAAGGTGTGCCCAGGACCCACTCTTTAGCCCAAGAGTGGGATTGTTTAACCCAGACCACTACCTATTGGCCTGGTTTAACTTTGTTTAACCCAAAGTGCTCCTGGGGTGATCTAGCCTTCCGCATGCCTCGCCCAGGGAGTGGGCTTCTTGGGGCAGAAATATCCAGCAGGACACAGCCCTCTGGCCCACTGCAAAAGTGCAGAATGACCCATTCAAAGTGCATCAAGTTAATCTTCAGCAGCCACCAGAACATCCCTGATATATTTATTGTCCATCTGTCTCCCCAGTTATTCATCCATCCAACCATCTGCCTAGTTTTTGTTGAGAATCTCATACATGCCAGCCCTATCAGCATGTTGGGGATGTGTGTTGGGGAAGACCTTGCCCTGCTCTCTCTCTCCCTCCCTCCCCAAGCACTGATGCTCACAGAAGCACCATCCATAAGCATTTTATAAGGAGTTTTCCACAAGTCTAAAATGTAGACTTGTCCTCTGAGGCTCAGAGTTGGATGGCTTGCCCCAAGTCGCACGGTAGGCCACAGGGCTGGGACTCCACAGAGCCTGGGTGTTTGGTCCAGCATGCTCTCTATGGAGGCATGCTTCCTGATGGCACAAAGATATCACTTCCACAAGCAACAGCTGGGGTGTAAGGGGCAGCTCTGAACTTGAGCTTAACTGCTGCTCCCACCTAAGATAGTGTGGCAATCCCAGAGATGTTTATTAGATGCCTGCAAGCAGTAGACCCCGACAAGGTGAGCCACTTGGGGCCCTGCTTGGTCTACTCTCCCCACGCCTTCTAATTTGTTGGCTTAGTTGTTGGGTTCCTCTCTGACAGTTTCTAGGTTGATTTGATTATATACAGTCCTTCCAAGTGAGAAGGCCCTTGCTAGTTCCATCCCTCAGGGAGAAGACAGTTCTCAATCCAGGGGCCTCAGACAACATCTCACACTCCGAGTTACCCATGAACTCTGGGCAGTACAGGGGGCTAAAGACTCTTGCTCATTATATCATCACTATCAGAAAGTCTGTGTCCCTAGCTTAATATATTAATAACAAAATATATATTATACACACACACACACCCCAACATGCAAACTTGGTTTAACAACAGCTAATAACAAAGACAATAATAAAATGCATCCTTAGGATATTATATACTGAAAGGAGAGACAGCAAGGGCCAGAAAAACCACAGGTGACAATTCGATATAAACTATAAATGGGAAGTTGAACATGCTTCAAAAAGGAAACTAATGTTTTGTAATTCTTAGATTGACATCAGTGAATGTGACCTTGAAGACTGTAGTCCAATTCCTTCGCCCTGCAGTAAGAAAGCCAAGGCTTGGCTTGCATATGGCAAAACTTGCTTGTGGTCCCACGGGAGCTGGAGGCAAGGCCAGACCCAGAACACACATCTCCTGCACCCCGTGCCAGGCCTGCTCGGCTGAGCTGGGCACTGCCTCACCTGCATGCTCAGTCTGCCCGGCCCCGTTGAGGAGCACAGGGAAGACACTGACCCTTCTTCTGCAGTGTCTCAGCCGTGCTGCTTCTTTGGTGGCCACTCAGCATAGGCATGGCTGCTGTCCAGATTGAAGCATGGCAGGTAAGAAGTGGGCCTGGGACCTGAGTTTATGTTCCCACGCTGACTCCTATCTGCTGACCTTGGATGAGTCACTTTTTCTCTCTCACTTGTGTTCCCATGTGAAAATGGGAGTGATAATCTCATCTCCAAAAGTGTGTGACAGCCATAGACTGTCACTGAAGGGACTCTATTATTGTCACTGCTAGGTCCCCAGACAGCAGCACTAAATGAGGCCCTCCTGCCATGGATCCTGATGTAGAGCTGGCCAGCTTTCCCAAGAAACCAGCTTCTAGTGGACACATGACTTCAAGATGGAAGAAATGAGTTTCAAACTTCTTGTTGCTTTTCTGACTGTGCTGGGTAGATGTGGCAGGACTCACACTGATGGGAGATGTTTTATTTGTCACCTAATGCTAATGTGTCATTCTTGCAGCTGTGGTTATTACCTACTATTAAATTCTCTGATGGCTAAATGAATGACTAAGTGGACAGAGGAGGGAGGAGGAGACCCAGTGGAGGTGGGGACCTCTACGTGGGTGTGAGCCAGGGGGAAGTCCCAACCACACTGTCAAGACCCAGGAGTGGGAAACTCACCTGGGCTAAATTCCCACCCTACAGCCTGGCCCAGAGAAGGGCAGTGCAGTATGGGCCATGATATGCTATGATGAGAGGCAGAGGGTTGTTGGTCTTGACGGCCACGTCCTGACTACCTCCCCACATCAGCCTGGCACATAGAGTGACCAGTGAGTAAACACTGACACCCAGATCCCAGGTCTGGGAAATCAGCAGGGCTTTAGAAGGCATGGAGATTGCAGGAAAGCCCCTATGGAGCCACAAATACCACAAAAGCAGAAAAAGGGTAAAGACAACAATTGCTACCACAATAAAAACGTCAGTATAATCAAAAGTTATGGCCATATTTCCCACGTAGTGTTACCAACATTCCAATAGCAGAAAATCCTAGGGTACAAAGGAAGACAGGCAGGATCCAGAGGAAGGCAGGGAAGGTTAACCGGAAAGGAGAGAAGATGAAAACAACTACTGGTAAGTTAAAGGGCATGTGGAAAGATCACTAGACTGGGGAGGGGCGGGGGTGGGCATTGATACCAGTACCAGAGGCCCAGCTCCTAACTAGTTCTGTGATGCTGGCCAGATCACCTTACCACTTGAGCAACTGAGCTCTCTCTTCTGGAAGAAAAAAATTTTTTTTGAAAAGTGTTCCCTTCACAACAAAGTCCTATTGTCTCTAGGATGTTATAAAACTAGGCATTGGGGGAAATCCTCTGAGAGATGGCATAACAAAGTGCACAATTCACAAGAGAAGTTAACTGAACCTGGAAAAAAGGATGAGGTGTGATTACAAAGGGCAGCAAATGGCTTTTCTTAATTGCCACCACCATGATTTGAATGTCTCCTCCAAAACTCATGTTGATACTTAAGCCCTGAATTCATATGTCAATGGTATTTGGAGGCTGGGCCTTTGGGAAGTAATTAGGATTCAATGAGGTAACAAGAGTGGAGTCCCCATTATGGGACTGGTGGCTTTATAAGAAGAGGAAGAGAAACCTGAACTGATACAGGCTTGCTCTGTTTGTAAGTAAGATCTCCACGGCTGTAACAAAATACCTGAAATAAACAATTTATAAGGAGGAAAGGTTCATTTTGGCTCATAGTTTCAGAGGTTTTAGTCCATATTCAGTTGGCCCTGTTTAATTTTCTGCTTGTGGTGAGGCAGCACATCACGGTGAGAGCATGTGGTGAAGCAGAGCTGCTCACTGCAAGGAGACCAGGAAGTAAAGAGAAAGAAAAAAGAGAGGCCAGGGTCCCAATATTCCCTGTAACAGTACTCCCCCCCCCATGACCTAACTTCCTTCCACTAGGCCCCAATTTTTAAAGGTTCCACCACCTACCACTGACTATGGACCAAGCCTATAACACATGTGCCTTTGGGGGACATTCAAGATTGACCCTATAGCACTCTGTCACACTACTATATGACTATATATGACTGCCATGTCATAGTGCAGCAAGAAGGCCCTCATCAGAAGCTAAGCAGAAGCTGAAGTCATGCTTCCAAGCTCCAGAATCATAAGGTAAGTAAACCTCTAATCTTTATAAATTACCAAGTCTGAGACATTCAGTTATAGTTATAGAAAGCAAGCCACCAGTGGAAGGACAAAAGGAAAATGGGCTTAAAGAGTGTTAACAGGAAGCTGGGATGATTTTAAAAATAGGAATCCAGTTCTGTTGCTTCCCTTCTAAAATACTTCCCATGGCTCCCTTATCAATCACTTAAAATTCAATTTCTCCTCATTGCAGATAAGCCCTACAGATGAGGTCCTGGATCTTCCCCAGCCTCCTCCCCACTTGCCTCCCCAGTACAGAGAGCTCGGACTCTGGTCTTTACTTTCTGCCTAGGATGCTGAGGCTTCCAATCATCGATGGCAGGCTACTTTTTACAATCAGACCCCATGTCCCCTCTGGGACCACAAAGCTTTCACCCACCCCTATACCTCTCCGTCAAGTCTTCACGTTGATGTTCCTGATATTTCCCTTTCTTTTTATTGTCTGGTTCCCCGCCCTGGCATGTAGGTGACAGGAGAGAAGAAACCCTGTTGGTGCTCATTGGTGTTTGGGCTGGCACATGGGGAAGCTCAGTGAGTATCTGTTGAACAAGTGAATGGTGATGTGTAAGTAATTTCACTAGGTAATATATGGGTGTTTTCCACAAGGAAAGCTGGAAACATTCCAATGAAGAGTTGGGGGACATCATGGATTGCCCTCCACGGAAGATCCCCGATAGTTTCACGTGAAGAATGATCTAAAGATACCTATTTCCTTTACCAGAAATCCAGACTATGACTGTGCCCCCAAACCACCAGTCGCACCCCACTTAAAACACAGATGGGCTGACACCCTCAATTTCTTTGGATGACAAGTCAAGGTGGTTCTACACACTGGGCTTGCTGGCCTCTGTGGGGCTGCTCCAACATCAGTGTGTTCATGCTGCCAACGAGCCCCCAAAATGAAGCCTCGTGAGAAAAGTCAGGCCCTATCAGGACTGCTCAGAGAGCTGCCACCAGTGGTGTGACCCTGGGCCTCTGCCACTGACAGGACTTTTCCAGAAGCTGGCTGGGCCTTAGGGACAGACAGCATGCCAATGAGTACACTGGTCCTGAAAAGAGGAGAGACAGGGATGGGCCCTCAAAACAAAATCTTAATCTGATGAAGACACTAAAGTAATATTTTATTTTGGGGGGTTGCCAAAGAAAGAGAGTGTGTATTTGTGATGATTTTGGTAATGACAAGGAGTGGAGGGCAGGCAGGAAGTATGGGCTGGGTTGTTGAAAACGGAACATTTTTTAGTACTACGTATGCCCATCAGTCCTGGATTAACTAGGGATCACATAAGCCACTGCTCAAGCTCTGCCTGTGGTCTAAGGTACAACAAGTCAACCTGACGTTGCTATGGGAACCAGATTCTTCCCCAGCACCATGGCAACAGACTCCAAAGTGTGTGAAGCACACAGTCTGCTCACACTCCACACCATAAGCTGGGGAAGAGAGCAGCAGGAGGTGGGGGGGGGGGTGGCCACACATAGCTGTTTTCCCAAACCAATTGTCTAAAATCTCAAGCACACGAGGTTCTCTTTGAATGGAGTTGATCACAGGGGCTGGGCATCTTCATGAGAATTACTCTGAGACACGGAGGACACCATCAAACTTCTGGGTACCATGTGTGGCTTCATGTATCATAAACTACAGGCTGTAACATAGCAAGGTGCTTCACTAAGAAAGGCTTCCAGGGTCCAGTACAACAACAAATCAATCACCAACAAAACAACATCCAAAATAGCTAGTTATAAGTTATTTTGACGTGCAAGACCAGGATGCCATCTCCTTCACAATCTTCTAAGGTTCAGCAGACTTCCCCACCCCCTAAGAGCAACTGAAGGAAGACAGGAGAAAACTGTCAACACCTGTTCCCCTTATCGACTTCAAATGATCAGTGTCAATTTGTTTGGCCTGGTGAATAGGGCTGTTCTATGGTCAGGGCAGGAATGTGAATCTGGAAAGAGTGGGCCCCCCAACAGCCTGCAGTGTAATTCCACAAACTGCAACACTATCACCCAAGAGTTTGGGATAAGAATGGAATTTATCTCTTAGCAATGTCTCCTACAGGCCATGTATCATTGCTGAGTTTTCTAGACCACTAAATCACACTGCAGGATTAAGAAAATCTCCTTATTTGTTATTATTGACCTAAAGCAGTAGTATCTCAAAGTCAGGCTCCTGGGATAGCAGCAGAAGCAGCACCTGGAAACTTATTAAAATGCACATTCTCAGGCTCCCACCCCAGCCCTGCTGAATCAGAAATTCTGGGGGTGAGACCCAGCAGCCTGATTTAACAAGCTTGTTATGTGATTCTGTGGCAAAGGAAAGACTCAGAATCCCTGGCCTAAAGAGACTGCAACATTCAATGACTGTTCTGCCCACCTTGGTCTCTAGGCAGTCAGATGGGACTGTAGAACCTGACAGGTGGAAAGGGCTTTGGGTGTCCACTAGTCCAATTTCTGCCTGGTGAAGCCTCTCGTTGTTGCTGCTTAAGGATGCTTTTTGTCCTCATGAGCTCAGCATTTTGTACAATGAACCCTTGACTGCATCTTTCCCTTTAACTGTTACCCAATTCCCATTTCCTGAAGTCACTCAGGATCAGTCTAATTTTTCTATCTTGTGACAGCCCTGCATGTATTTGAAACCAGCCAACACAGTGCCCCTACATTTTCCCTTCTCCAAATTAAATATCTCTAGATCCCTCTAGGGTTCCTTATATGAAACAATTTCCAGAGGGCTTCCTTGGCCTCCCTCACTGCATGTGGCGAACATGAAATGAGGAATCTCCCTGAACCTCTTCAAACACGGAGAACAATGCCCCAGGAGCACATGACCTAAAAGGAGCACAGGGGACTGCCGCTTTCCCAACCTGGACACCCCAGGTTGCCATCAAGGCAAACCAGGTGTCATGTCACCTGGCCTGGAGAACAAAATCCCTCTGGTCTTCACAAATGCAATAGTTAAGTCTGCTTCCATTTCTGGTTTTTGAGCACATAATTTTACATTTCTAATAATAAATGTATCTCATTAGTTCTGGCCTAGAATTTTTATTTGTATGCAGTTGAATTTATTTTTCTACTGTATAAAAAATGTGATATTATGCATACCTATTTCCCTTTTAAACTTTTGTTATTGTGCTGGCCATATGTTTTATATTCTATTATTAATGAAAAAATGAGAATTTCCACTTGTGAGCTTCAAAAACCATACTTTTATTAGCTCATCATGAATTATAACATGATTTAGTTAAACATTCTCTTTTGACATTAGATTCTTTTCAGTTTTTTTTCTGTTTGAAAATAATGATGCAATGAACATCATTGTATGTAAAGGTAAATAAATGTTTTAAAATTATTTT